CAATGGGTTAGGGTTACTTTCACATCTTTCAAAATAGGACCAGAAGAGCTTAGTCCTGTTTCTTCCGAACCTTTCAACAATAAATCCCTGTTTCATCCTCTTTAGTATACTAGAAGCTTCATTATTCCCAGCAATTGCTGAGCATCTGTTAATCCATGAATTATTTCTAAATATAATTTTAGGCCAGTAACTCTCATCTTCACAGCTTCCTGAGAATGAGAAGCAGCAATGATCTGTCTCACTTTGCCATGAGTCCATGTTCCCTGGTGACCTGAAATACACTGAAAAGTGCTCTGCCTATAGAAACTCTTGAAATCACTAGGGAGAAATTTCCATCATAAAAAGAGTTTTAACAAGGGAAAAGAATGTAGATCATTTAGCCCACAATTTTTTTAAAAAATTTGTTTGCAAATCTGTCCAGTCATGAACGGATGTAATGACTGTGTATGAAAACAAATTCCTAAAGAAAACATGATTCCTGCTTTGAATCATATGTTTTGAATCCTCGAGACAAAGCAACACAGTCCTCCCATCCCAGCACTGCTGTTGTTTTGGCTCTCTCCAATTCCATTAGCATCCATTTAGTATTTTTATGAACTGTTTTATGTTATATTTTGTTGGAAATAGCAACTTTCTACAAGCCTCCTATACTGGTTATTTGTTATGTATATAATTCAGATCACTTACTATGTTGTATATGTGTGTATTGGTATGCAGTTTTCTCTAGATTGTGGAAGGGACTACAGACTATGTGATCAGATCTGGGACTATTCAGACTGAGACTCTATTTTAGATGTCAGTGTTGTGTTGCAATGTATTGTATAGTCCATGTTCATTATGTATTAAACCTCTTGTAAGCTGCACCAAGTCCTTCAGGAGATGGTAGCGGCAGAGGCGGCCCTAGGTAATTTTCAACGGTAAGCAAACAGTATTTTTGATATATATTTTCTGTTCGTCATGGGAGTTCTGTGTGCCATATTTGGTTCAATTCCATCATTGGTGGAGTTCAGAATGCTCTTTGATTTTAGGTGAACTATACATCCCAGTAACTACAACTCGCATATGTCAAGGTCTATTTTCCCCTCAAGAGCACCCCTGGGCAAAATCAACTATACTGCGAATGCTTACTTTGCGTAATGGGTTGAGCCGCCTCTGGGTAGTGGGGTACAAATAAAGGATTATTATTATTATTATTATTATTATTATTATTATTATTATTATTATACAGGGAGCATACCACCCCTCTGTTATGTCAGCTCCACTGGCTGCCGATCCAATTCCGAGCACAATTCAAAGTGCTGGTTTTGACCTACAAAACCCTATATAGTTCCGGCCCAGCGTATCTGTCCAAACGCATCTCCTTCTACGTCCCGCCTCGGAGTTTAAGATCTTCTGGGGGGGGGGCACTGCTCTCGGCCCCACCTCTAACACAAGTGAGATTGGTGGGGACAAGGAGCAGGGCCTTCTCGGTGGTGGCCCCTCACCTGTGGAACTCACTCCCCAGGGAAATTAGGTCATCGACATCCCTCCTCTCCTTTAGAAGGAAATTAAAAACATGGATTTGGGACCAGGCCTTCGGGTAATCTGGTGGATAGATAAGGGACAAGCAACGACTAGAACTGAGGGATTGGACAATGTGGAATTTGAATTTACGGACTATGAGCTGGTAAACGTTGAGCACTAGATTGTTTTTAGGGATTGTGATGTATAATGGATTGTTTTAATTGTTTTAATTACTGTTTATATGTTTTATTTTTTACCTTGTTGTTGTGCCGGCATTGAATTGTGCCTTTTTGTAAGCCGCCCTGAGTCCCCCCTTGGGGGTTGAGAAGGGCGGGGTAGAAGTGCGAAAAATAAATAAATAAATAAATGTTATTATTATAAACCAGTGGTTCCCAACCTTTTTTTGACCAGAGACCACTCTCCAACATTAGTACCAAAAGATTTATGAGTCAGTTTTTGGTCAAGTTTAGATTTGATTTGGTTATTTGGGGTGTTGATTCAGAAAATTGCACTGGATAGACCACATCAGCTCTAGTTTCTAATACAGAACATATGCCATCCAGTAGTTGCCATCATTCGCTCACAGAAACCCATATTTAATAATCTAGAGCTGATATGGTCATTCAAAGGGGTCCGGGCTGGTCAGCGGCAGGGAAGGAGTGGCAGGTGGCGCAAAAAAAGTGGAAATAAAATAAAATAAAATGAAATAATAAAGAGGAAGGAGGCTCATGAACCAGATTTTCATCCTCATGGCCCACTGGGAGTCCATGGCCCACAGGTTAAGAACCACTCATTAAACATAAGACAGAGAAGAGACTAGAAGGGAGTATTCATATAAGCTTATTCTATTGCTCTCCTCAACGTTTTTGTCCTAGAAGTACAGCCCCACCCCATACGATGGTCTATTACCCCGTCTCTCCAAGTGTTCTCCCTTACAAATAATTTTGCTCCTTTATCTCATCCTGAGTTTTTAAAAATCATTTTATGTACATGCTCACTGTCATCATGTTTGGATTACTGCTTTTTCCCCCCTATGTTTTGTGTATATTGTTTGTTATGCTTATATGTTTTGTACTTTATTGTGATGTTGTTTATCTTATTGTAATTCATATTTTATTTTATTGTAATTGGTTATTTGGGCCTGGCCTCATGTAAGTCACCCCGAGTCCACGTTTAGGGAGATGGTGGCGGGGTATAAATAAAGTTATTATTATTATTATTATTATTATTATTATTATTATTATTATTACAACAGAATATCTTAGAGAACTTACCATGTAAACTTTCAACTGTTAAGAATACATGAAGTTTGTAAATAAATCAACTATGTTATTTTTTAATGAAGACTACTTATTATTGTCTCTTGAGAGCATGATTTGAAACCAAATATATTTTATGGGAGAGTATATGTTTTTGGGCAACTGAAATAACACTTCTGAAGATCTGCTATATATTTTGTGCATTGGCATAATCTTTGTTTTTAACAGTTCAAAGAGATAACCAGGTATATCAGTCTAACAGCTGAGAAACCCAACTGCCTTGCATAAATCCAAGTGGATATTTACTACTGAAGATTCACTCAAATGAGTTTTACCTCTTCTCATGAAGGATTCTGGTTTTCCAAAAGGTTATGATCTCAAAGGTCATCCTTTTCCCAAAATATTTGACTCCTGAACGTTTTATTGCAAGGTATTCCCTAGGCAGGGTACAAATGCATGTATTTAATTTACAGGGGAAGTGGCACTATCAGTCTGGATGCCTGGGGTGTGCAGGTCCATTCTGTTTTCAGTCTGTTTTTGTTTTAAATTTCAGGTGCCCCCCCCCCTTCTGATTTTGGGAAAATTCCAGGAGATTAGGAGTGGGGCTGACCAGATTCGTAATTTGGAATCCTGAGTTCCATGTCTGTTTCGGGGGAGCACCCCAAATTCAAAACAAAAACAAGACGGATTCTGTACTGTTTCACACACCCCATTAGGTACTATGGCCACAGTGCTTCCACTCATATCAGGACCTTGGACAGCTGACCTCCCCTATACAGTCAGAACTTTTGGCAGAACTTTTGTTAACCAAGGGATACTTTTACCCTCTGGTTTGGAAAAAAAAATATTATTTGTAAACACACAATCAGTGGAACAACAAGGGCTAAGATTCATGGAATAGCTGCCTGCCAAGCCAAGACTTCTTCCTTTTTTCTCTCTCCATGTTGATAGGACTAGCAAAAGCAGATGAAGGCAAGGAGCACAGGTAATGTTTCTTCCCTTTGGGGAGAACCACAATAATAGGGCTGAGAGTCTACACATGGCCTACAGGCAGAGGCAGCCCTAGGTAATTTTCAACGATAAACAAACAGTATTTTGCCCCCCCCCCCCAAGCAATCACTGATATATATTTTCTGTTCGTTGTGGGAGTTCTGTGTGCCATATTGGTTCAATTCCATCATTGGTGGAGTTCAGAATGCTCTTTGATTGTAGGTGAACTATACATCCCAATAACTACAACTCACATATGTCAAGGTCTATTTTCCCCCAAGAGCGCCCCTGGGCAAAATCAACTATACTGCAAATGCTTACTTTGCGTAATGGGTTGAGCCGCCCCTGCCTACAGGATACCTTTTCCCCACTCCTGTTCTAGGTATTGCAGCCTGTAAGCATTTAAAGGCACTTTTCCAGCCTAGAAAGTGACAGAACTAAGTATAATATAATAAACTGTTAGACTGTCATACCTATAATAATATTAATTATTTCATTTTTTAATGAAACTCACATTCCAAAATTTAGCTTAAGAATTTATTAGTAAATTAAATAGTAATTTATAGGAATAGTAAATTAAAAATCGAGTGCTACTTGCTTGTTTGTTTTTAAGTAATGAGAGGCAGTTTCAAACACATTTTAAACATTTTAAACTTGTGTTATACGTCATTTGGAAGAAAGGTATAAATATCAATTCAAAGGCAATGCATTAGTACCACAACACTAACAAATTGTGATACCCATAGTAATGGACACTGAATTACTTTTCTCAGAAGTAACAGTGACATTAAAATGCTAGTATTTTTGGTAATGTATTGTCGAAGGCTTTCATGGTCGGAATCACTTGGTGTTGTAAGTCTTTCGGGCTGTATGGCTATGTTCCAGAAACATTCTCTCCTGATGTTTCACCTACATCTATGGCAGGCATCCTCAGAGGTTGTGAGATGCAAAACATCAGGAGAGAATGCTTCTGGAACATGGCCTTACAGCCCAAAAAACTTACAATAACCCATTTTTGGTAATGTTTGCAAGCTCTGAAATTCAGTGGTAGAAAACAACAGTAAGCAACAATGGTTTATGTCCCCCTCTCTCTTTCTCTCTCTGTGTGTGTGTGTGTGTGTGTGTGTGTCCCATCTAGACCAACAGCAAGCATGCCAAACGGTAAGAAGTATTATATTCTTCAGTGTGAATTAGTCTTTACTGTGCTTCAGTGGGAATGAGGATAATGAAGTGGTGAACCCCCTTTACCTGCCATCATTAAGGCTCTGACGCATTCGCTGCGGCCTTGCATTGCAGACTTCATGAGCGCAGTAAATCCAAAGACATTCCTTTTTTCAATATCAAGGCCAGGATAATAGTTGAGCAAATACTGTGTAATGGTAATATGTCCTAAAAAATAAAACACAAATGTGTATTAGTTTCAAAGCAATGGGATTTTCAAATTGATATTCTGAGATCAAGTACACATCATTGTACTGGCAGTTTTGGTTGGTTTCATGATAAACCAAAGTAATATTGTAAATGATCTTGGTGCTTTAATTTTTATGATGGTGGTGTTTTACGACGTTGAACAACAGCAGTCTTAGGACAGAACCCTAAGGAATTTCACTAGTCTTTTCTTTCTAGGATGAAGAAAAACCATTGCTGAATATTATTTGGGTTTGGTCCATCCAGAGGTCAAAAATTCACTGAACAGTAGCATTGTCTAGCTCACATTTTACCATCGTGTCTGCAATAATATTGTCAAAGCCTTGCAAAAATCAAATTATATTATACCCACAGGGTTATCCTGATCTACCAGGCTTGCAACTCTACTAAAGGAAGATAAAAGATCAGTATAAGTTGCTTTCTGAAAAATCCATGCTGAATTTTATTAATCACGGTAGTTCTTTAAGCAGCTGTTGAATAAATCCATCTGTGTTATTTTTGCCAAATTGACTAGTCAGTAGTGGCGTGGCTTTTTTCACCTTCCAATCTAGACCTCTCCTGTTCTTCAAGAATTTCCAAAAAGGCTATTGATAGAATTTATTTATTTTCATTTATTTATTATTTATTTCAAAGTTTTATATACCGAGCTTCTCACCTCATAAGAGTGACTCAGCCCGGTTTCCAACCATAAAAACACATACAATCGGTAAAATATTAAAATACACATTACAATAAAACATTTAAAAAGCACATATATTTAAAACTACGGTGGTCAGTCGTCATACTAAAATCGAATATACACCGTCTTCCATCCAGATCATTGTCTCATTCTTCGAAAGCCTGTCTCCATAACCACGACTTCACCTGTTTCCTGAATGTCAGGATTGTTGGGGCGGTTCTAACCTCTGGCGGGAGAGAGTTCCAGAGTCGCGGGGCCACTACCGAGAAGGCCCTGTCCCTCGTCCCCACCAGCCGCGCTTGTGAGGCCGGCGGGACCGAGAGCAGGGCCCCTCCAGACGATCTTAGTAATCTTGATGGTTCGTAGGGGAGAATACGTTCGGAAAGGTAAACAGGGCCGGAGTCGTTTAGGGCTTTATAGGTTAACACCAGCACTTTGAATTGTGCTCGGAAGCTAATTGGCAGCCAGTGGAGCTGGTGTAACAGCGGAGTGGTGTGCTCCCTGTACCCAGCACCCGTTAGTAATCTGGCTGCTGCACGTTGTACTTACTGCAGATTCCGGGCAGTCTTCAGAGGCAACCCCACGTAGAGAGCGTTGCAGTAGTCTAAACGGTATGTAACCAAAGCATGGACTACCGTGGCCAAGTCAGCCTTCCCAAGGTACGGGCGCAGCTGGCGCACAAGTTTTAATTGTGCGAAAGCTCCCCTGGCCACCCGCTGAGACCTGGGGTTCCAGGCTCAGCGATGAGTCTAGGAGAACTCCCAGACTGCGAACCTGCGCCTTTAGGGGAGTGTGACCCCGTCCAGCACAGGCTGTAACCCCGTACCTTGTTCGGTCTTACGACTGACCAGGAGTACCTCTGTCTTGTCTGGATTTAGTTTCAATCTGTTGTCCCTCATCCAGTCCGTCACAGCGGCCAAGCACCGGTTCAGGACCTGAACAGCCTCCTTAGTAGCAGGTGAAAAGGAGTGATAGAGTTGGACATCATCTGCGTACAGATGACACCGCACCCCAAAACTCCGGATGATCTCTCCCAACGGCTTCATGTATATGTTAAACAACATAGGGGACAGTACTGAACCCTGCGGGACTCCACAGTACAATGGCCGAAGAGTCGAGCAGGCGCCCCCAGTAGCAAACTATTCAAATGTGGGCTAGGCAATGCTACTGTTAGGTGGATCTGTAATTGGTTAAGAGATAAAACCCAAAGGGTGCTCACCAATGGTTCCACTTCATCCTGGAAAGAAGTAACTAGTGGAGTGCTGCAAAGTCATTCCTGGATCCAGTACTGTTCAGCATCTTTATTAATAATTTGGATGAATTTTTAAAGGGCTTGCTGGCCAAATGTGCAGATGACACCAAATTGGGAGGGATAGCTAATACTCCAGAGGACAGGATCAGAATTCAAAATGACCTTAACAGATTAGAGAGCTGGGCCAAAAATAACAAAATGAATTTCAACGTGGACAAATGTAAGATACTACACTTAGGCAGAAAAAATGAAATGCAGAAATACAGAATGGGTGATATTTGGCTCGACAACAGTCCATGTGAGAAAGATCTTGAAGTCTTCATGGACAACAAGTTGAACATGAGCCAACAGTGTGATGCAGCAGCTAAAAAAACCAATGGGATTTTGGGTTGCATCAAAAGGAGTATTTTATCTAAATTGAGGGAAGTCATGGTGCCCCTCTATTCTGCTTTGGTCAGATCACGCCTGGAATACTGTGTCCAACTCTAGGCATCACAGTTTAAAAGGTATCAACAAGCCGGAAGGTGTCCAGAGGAGGGCAACTAAAATGATCAAAGGTCTTGAGACCATGCCCTGTGAGTTGAATCTTAAAGAACAGGGTGTGTTTAGCCTACAAAAGAGAAGGTTGAGAGGAGACATGGTAGCCATGTATAAATATGTGGAAGGGTGTTATAAGGTTTCATAAGGAAGAGGGAACAGGCTTGTTTTCTGCTGCCCTTGAAACTAGGACTCGGAGCAATGGGTTCAAATTACAGGAGAGGAAATTCCAGCTGAACGTTAGGAAGAACTTCCTGACCGTACAAGCTGTTCAACAGTGGAACTCTCTGCCTCAGAGTCTGGTGGAAGCTCCTCCCTTGGAAACTTTTAAACAGAGGCTGGATGGCCATCTGTCAGGAATACTTTGATTGTGCTTTCCTGCATGGCAGGGGGTTGGACTAGATGGCCAATGTGGTCTCTTCCATGTGATTTATACTAATTGTATTGTTTTTGGTTTATTGCTTTCTTGTTTTATTGATGTGGTGTTGGGTTTGGCCTCATGTAAGCTGCTCCGAGTCCCTTGGGGAGATGGTGGCGGGGTATAAATAAAGATTATTATTATTATTATTATTATTATTATTATTATTATTATTCCAACTCTATTATTCTATGTTTCTTTGATATTACTTCTGCAAGTAATACTCATGAATCTAGTTTCATTTGGCCTGGAGACTGAAATTCATGAGGGGTGCATCTACATTGTAGAATTAATGCATTTTGACACCATTTTATCTGCTATAACTCGATGTTACAGAATTGTGGAAGTTATAGTTTAACAAGTTCTTTAGCTTTTCTTTCAAAGTGCTGACGCCTCACCAAACCACAACTCTAATGATTTCATAGCATTGAGCTATGGCAATAAAGGTGGTGTCAAACGGCATTAATTCTATAGTGTAGATGCACACTTAGTACTCCTTCATTACCTGTTTACCTTTTCTTGGCTACAATCCACTTCTTGCATAATTTATTTTGTTTTTATCAACCTACGAACTGTTTTCCTTTTGGGGAAGATGGATGCAATGCAGGTATTAAACAATTCTGCTGTCTCTTGATGCCCTCTCCATTGCTGCCTTTCTCTACAGAGTTCACTTTTGTAGTGACTCCTTTTTGAAATGGTTTAAGAAGCACTTTGTGAACGGCAAAGCGACAGGAGAGAACATGAACTTAAATGACCAAATAAGTAAATAAAGAGATGTCATATATTTATTTTTAGAAAGAGTTTCATCTCGGCAGATCAAACATAATCTCCAACAGAAAGTTGGTTTGCCTCATTTTTGTCCAATTTGGTAAGCCACCATGACTGAGATATACAAACTGGTGAAAATCCATCACACGCTGAAGTTATTGACGTTCGGAGGCTAACAGTCTGAAGACCAATTAAACCATCAAGCTCTTGTAATTGGACTGACAGAACAAGACAAACATCTACTGCCATTATTACTCATTCAAAACATTTTTCTCACTTGTCATTTGTTGTATGATAGCTTGATGGTTTGTATTATAATATCGTCTGTCAGCCAGCTACAAGAGCAGCAACTTAATTACTGTAAGTTGCAAAAAATGTTCTCTTGTCTTATTTTGCAGTCCAGTTAAATACTCCTCAAAGCATGTCAAGTCACTTAAATTTTATCCAGGAATTCAAAATGTTTATGAAGAAGTTTCGCATGAGCAATCACACAAAATCCAAAACAGAACAGCTGGTGCGGCTTTAATGATCAGTTGCTTCATGGCATCCTAACACATTTTCTAAGCAATGGGTTTTTGCATGTTTTATCTGTTAAACAGAATAAATTATGCTCAATTTATTGTGCCCTTTGGTTGCCTCTATCCTTCCACAAAGCCTCTCCCCTTGGATATCCCATGGTCAAGACCAGGGGTCCACAAACTTTTTAAACAGAGGGCCAGGTCACAGTCCCTCAAACTGTTGGAGGGCCGGATTATAATTTGAAAAAAAAAAAGAATAAATTCCTATGCTCACTGCACATATCTTATTTGTGGTGCAAGACCACTTAAAACAATACAATAATTAAAATGAAGAACAATTTTAGAAAATATAAACTTATTAGTATTTCAATGGGAAGTGTGGGCCTTCTTTTGGCTGATGAGATAAGATTGTTGTTGTTGTGTGCTTTTGAGTCGTCACAGACTTAGGGTGACCCTGAGCGAGGGCCGGGTAAAAGACCTTGGAGGGCCGCATCCCGCCCCCAGGCCTTAGTTTGAGGAGCCCTGGTCAAGACAATTGCTGGTGAACAACATCACAAAAGAAAGAGAAAACAACAGAGACTTGTCACACCTTAAAGCAGGGGTCCTCAAGCTAAGGCCCGGGGTCCGGATACGGCCTTCCAAGGTCATTTACCTGGCCCTCGCTCAGGGTCAACCTAAGTCTGAAATGACTTAAAAGCACACAACAACAACAACCCTATCACATCAGCCAAAAGCAGCCCCACATTTCCCATTGAATTATAAGTTTATATTTGTTAAAATTGTTCTTCA